TTCTCTCCAGTGTGAATTCTACGATGATCTGCAAGGTTTGAAATTCGGGTGAAGACCTTGCCACATACATTACATTTGTATGGTTTCTCTCCAGTATGGATTCTCTGATGGTTTGCTAGGTATGACTTGTGACTGAAGACCTTGCCACATTCATTACATTTGAAAGGTTTTTCTCCAGTATGAATTCGCCGATGTTTTGCAAGATGAGAAATATGATTGAAGACTTTTCCACATTCATTACATTTATATGGTTTCTCTCCAGTGTGAATTCTACGATGATTTGCAAGGTTTGAAATCCGGCTGAAGACCTTGCCACATACATTACACTTGTATGGTTTCTCTCCAGTATGGATTCTCTGATGATTTGCTAGGTTTGACTTGTGACTGAAGACCTTGCCACATTCATTACATTTGAAAGGTTTTTCTCCAGTATGAATTCGCCGATGTTTTGCAAGATGACAAATATGATTGAAGACTTTTCCACATTCATTACATTTGTATGGTTTCTCACTTGTATGAATTCTCTGATGACTTATAAGATTTGATTTCTGATTGAAGACCTTACCACATATATCACATATAAACTGTTTCTCTCCAGCCCAGACTATTTGATGCATAGTAAATTGTGGGCCTTGGTTAAAAGATTTGCCACAATCATTCCATCTGTAAGGTTTTGTACTAATGTGCATGTCCCGTTCTTGTGTGAAAAATAAAGAATCAATAAAATCATTTTCATATTCATGAGAAATGTTTGTTTTCACACTAGAAGGATTACTTTGGTGGCATGAAACTGAGGAATCATTGATAGACTGTTCAATATAATTCCATTCATAAATGTTTCTTTCCCTTGCATACAGCTGCAGTTCAGGCAGATGTGACTGAAAGTTTAATCTATGCCAATTTTTAATATGTTTCTTTCCTGGATCCATTGTACCATATTCATCTCTTCTACCCATCAGATTTTCCTTGTGAGTCACACAGAATCCTATGTCAAGTCTTCCACCCTCTCTGCAATGGCACTGAAAGCCATGTATATTTTTCTGGATTTCTTTGAAGCACAATTCTTCAATGTCATGGATTTTACATCTTTCCAACATTACTGTCTGGAACATTTCTCCTGTATCACTTTTCCTTTTTGGTAGCAATTCCTTGATGACAGATATAGGAGAGTTGTCTATGAAATATAAGAAATCACCAGGTTCTGATTAATTATAGAAGATAAATAATCCTGTTATGGAAATACATGACATTATACCAAAAGAAATAGAACTTACATTGAAGAATTATAAAAATTCATGACTTTTAATTTTTAGGAATATAAAATAGATTTTAATAATAGTTTGATTACATGTAATTCAAATCAACTGCAGAAATGCTCAGTTTCAAACAATTATCAAAACACTTATATTACATAAACTAATTCAATGGGTAATTGTAGAATTTTCAGCCCCAAAATTTGTGAGAAATAATCTTTTGTGGTTTAAGCATGCTAGTCTATGGTATTTCTAATGGAAGACAGAGATAAATGAGACATGAAAAGAATCTATCATCATAAAAAGACAGGTTAAGTCACAGTAAATAAAAGAAGCATGGAAAGTAACATTTCAAAGGAAAGAGAAGAGCTGAGCTGTGTTGTGTCACTCAGCCATCCCCCATAGACAATGTTACCTAAGTCTGCAACACCATACACACTGATTTACATAGTGTCCTGAGAACATCTAAAGGATGAGTAGGTGTCTTTCCTTACACAGTGAGGTAAGTGTGGGAGTCTTCTGCAAATCTGACTGTGTAGAAGAACAGATATATAGTAAGAAGCAGCAGTGCAGTGCATGCAGATCAAGAAACAATATAGAGAAAGCTAGCATGGGGGGCAAGGAGTTAGGGGCATGAGGGAGAAGAGCATGTGCTAGTAAATCTGTGGGAATGCAATTGCACAAGGCAGTTAACATTCCTACCTTTGTGAAAAAGAGAAATGGGTATAGCAAGTGGGATAAAACTGTCCTATTCAGAACTATGGGAATGAGAGTTCAGGTGTGGGGGGGGATAGTGGAAGACAGTTAATAGGACAGCAGTGTGATGGTCCAGAAGAAGGCAGAGTCACATCTCCTAAACTATCTAATGAAATTTATCATGTTGAATGACCTATAAGTTATAGGTATATATTTAACAAAATCTTTATATATTCTAAGATATTATATGCAGAAATGTTCTAAGCAGGATATGAAAGCAAAAATCTTGAAATAGCCAGGAGGAGATGGTGAATTAATTCTGTTCCCACACAGAAAGTCAATTTATCTTTTATCAAGAGTATAGAAATCTAGTGAGACAAGGGGTACAAAGTGATGATTCTGTCACTAAGTAGACAGAGAAAGCTTTGAAGAAACAGGTCTAGCATGTCTATCCTTAATTTCATTAGTGAAATTGAAAAGCAAAACAAAAACAAAAACAAAAGAAGAAAAAAACTATCAATTGTTGAGGATCCCAAGCATTGCCAGGCCATGGCTCAATGATCAACCCAAAGCAGAAGATCTGCCTTATCACTTGTTGCCAGAAGGCCAGTAAATAGCCTGACCTTATGTCACAAATGCCAGAAAGAGAGAAGTCAGCTATATTTTGTCACAGTCTATTGTTATCAGCACTGTTCTATACTAATAACTATTGTCATTATACCATACTGTGCCTAATTTAAAAGTAAAACCTTATCAGGGCTGGGGATATAGCTCAGTGGCACTACACTTGCCTGGCAAGCTCAAGGTCCTGACTTTGATCCCAGTATGGGGGCAGGGGGAGTAAAATCTTATCTTAGTTATATATGCATAGGAAAAGGCACAGTATATATAGTTTGGTACAACTTGCATATGAAGTTCTTCACCTGGGGTCTTGGAATGTATGCCACACAATAATGGACAACTACTGTAACAAACGATAGGGCTGAAAAATACTAAATACAAAATAGCACTAGAGAATTATAAAACTATGAGGTTTAACATATAAAAGTCTTATAAAGTTTATTAAAACTCATAGCTAGATTAAGAGAAAAAGAGGGAAGACTCAATTAAAATCAGAAAGAAGAGAGGGGACCATACAACCGATTGGTTCTTTGCAAATAAGGAATATTATTGTACAACAGATATGATGACCAAGAAAAAATAGATTATTTTAAAGTCTAGAAATACACAAGCATGAGGAAGTAGAAAATGTAAAAGAGGTCAGTAGCAAAGAACTTGAGTTAGTCACCAAAAACCTCCCAAAAATGAAAAGGACTGGATCCAATGTCCTTAGTATAGAGTTGTCAGTATGAATGAATACAAACATGTACTTATACAAAATTAATATATTTGATTTCATAAATGTTACCAGGAAAACACATGTACCTTTATGAACAAAATAAGTAAATGATCCACAGTGGAAATGGCTTTACCTAATATCACTATTAGTGGCAGTCAAATGAGCAGAGCAGTCAACAGTGTAAGTAGCAAAAAAGAGCCAGACAAGAGAACAGCACCAAAGAAGTGGTAACAGGGACCAGGTGAACATCATAGGAAACTCAGATGGAAAGAAACATGGAGAATAAAACAGTCATTATGTGTTAACTCAGAAACGCATTTTCATGAACTTCAAAGAAGGCTACTTTACTGCAAAGCTAATGCATATGAGACCATGAACCTGAGAACTGTGCTGCTAAGAGATTTTTCTGTGCGACTGACTGCTGGCAAAGGAGACAATTGTCACCAACACTGTCACGGTGCCACAAAAAGACATTTCTGTGACAGTCCTCAAAACCTAGAAGGCAGCTAGAAACGGCTCAGTCAGGTGCTACTGATATTTGTATCTGTTAGGACAGCTCGGTGTGGTTTCTGGGGTCTCCTGTATCCTGAGACAGGCTGAGAACCCCACTCAGGGTTTCCAGGGGCACCTGGCAGGTGGGAGAATGAGTCAAATGTACAAGGCAAACTATTCTCCTTCATGAGTTTTTATATAAATGCACACACTATGGAATAGTCCACAAGAAGCTACAAGTAACCTCAAAGTGGGTTATCACACTAGAAAAAGACCCTAGGAAGTTGACTGTAGGAATTTGTATGTCAAAAGCAAATTTAACTGTGTGTTAGCTATGTTGGAAATTGAGGCAGGAGGAATGCAAGCTCATTTCCAGCCTGGGCAACATAAAAAGCACTTGTCTGAGAAAAGAAAATTTTAAAAAGGGATATATAGTTGAGTGGTAGGCTAACTCTAAGTTGCATCCCTAGTATCACCAAAAAACCCAAAAAGAAGTAAATTCCACAAGCAAAACAGCACAATAAGAAAAAGAAAAAAAGGAAAATCAGAAAGAATCAAGGTTTTTCTACCTTTACAGACTAGTAAGAGTGGTGGAAGAGAGGAAAAACTAATACACAGAGCAGGATTTTGGAGGACCTTAAGATGGAAATCTGTTCTGTCCACATACCTCATGGTTAAGAGCCTGAAAGACTGAGTCTGTGCTACTCACAGAGGACTGCTGATCAAACACAGGACCTGCCTGTTGCCTACTTTTTTACAGCTCTAAGGAATAACAATCTCAGAAGATCTAAGAGACTCCCATTATACAAAGCTGATAAGTGTTAAAAGCAGGATGAAAGGGCTAAATCAGCACAGCAGGGAGAAATAGCTGGGTCAGCTCAGTGTGGTTTCGGGGATCCCTGATGTAAGGATGAGCAGCCATGGTTTCCCATCTCCTGACTGGATCTTCCAAGCACAGGAAATGGGGTCATACATGGACATGGAACATGGTGTAGGGATCAGGATGATGGAGACCTCTAATGTTTATGGAGAGAGAACTGAGCATCAGATAGACTCAAGAACACAAGTCATTAAGAGACACAAAAGGGCCCTTCCCACACAGCAGAGTCAGAAACTGAAGAGTTCATAGACACGAATGAGACAGCACTGTCCACCATGATGGAGATGCTGGCTTTGTCTCAGATACAACACAACTGTCTGGTAAAACAACCAGCAGTGATACCTGTCACTTAGTGCCCAGTGATAATTGGTGGTAAAGAAAACTCTACTCTTTGAATGCAGAGGAAGTAAACCTTTTTTCCACAGATCTTTCTCACTACCAAAGTTTTCCAAACACTATTTATTGGTGCAGCTTCCACTCTGCCCATCTGAGCTCTTACCTGTGGTCACACCTTTGACACATTCCCACCCATCTGAGTTTTGGCATGCTTTCACTTGGCCATCCACATTCCAGGGCTCTGCTCCTTGCTCCAACATAGAGACAACATTCCGGTCAAAAGGAGAGATTCCTGCTTGAAAAAAGAAAGGCATGTGATGTGTGGTGGATTTTCCAGACTCTAGCCCTGTTCACTTGAGAAAGAGATTACAGAGTGATCCAGGCAAATATTTCACTATTCCTTGTTCTAGCTCTCTTCCAAGGACCAATGATTCAAAAGCACAGGGATAAAAGCCAGGAAACTGGATTATTTTAAAAGTCTGCTATAAGGCTTCATGCATATTTCAGCTCTCGAATCACCAGTGACATATCTATCACAATGGGTACAGGACACCTGATGAAAGAACACCTTAAGGTCCAGATGCCGTATTCTGAAGCTTCACATTTCAGAGGCAACAGGGCATCTGTCTCAGTCAAACAATGCAGAGGATTCCATGAAGATACAAGGGAAAATGCAAAGAGACACAGAGTAGATCTGACTTCTGGAAGGAAGTCACGCTCACCCAGGGAGACCAGGTTCCTGTAGTTCTCCAACATCACATCCCTGTATAAAGTCCTCTGAGCAGGGGCTAGGCATTTCCACTCCTCCTGGGAGAACTCTATGGCCACATCCCTGAATGTCAACAGACCCTGAAGTGAAAAACATATTTCACCACGGGGAATTGGCAAGAGTTATAATTGTCCCCTAAAACGAAGAGAAATGTAAGGGCCAATTCAATTGAAGTAAATGAGCTTGGTCTATGCTATGATGTCAGGAGTTCGATACAGCTCACTTTGAATCTCTGGTGATACAGATGGTTTTATATGCTAATGAGGTAAACTGGCGACCAGGGGTTCCCAGGGAGCTTTAGGACAGGGGCTGCTCATAATGAAGACCTAGGCAGGATTAGACTGTCATGACACTCACTCCAGGGAAGGGAAGGGGTCTAATGTCCGATTCGATCAGCAATGTAATGATACTGGTAGAGCAGTAATACCCAGTAAGACAGGCCCTTGCCCTACCCTTGCCTTGCCTCCATGTTTTTCCCACAAAACCTTCTGTTCCAGAAAGGTCAGTCTGTGCTGCATGGGCTCCTGCCCAATGTATCAAAATGTTTTGTAAACAGTTTGAACTGTGTGACCTTTCAAGAATGTTCTGTTGACTTGTTTCCTTACAGGAATGCTCTGATAACTCTCCCCCTCTGCTTTTGTGAGCATGCTGCCCAGAATGTGTTTCAGGAATATTCTGTAACTGTGTCCCCCTGCATGAGTGAGCATGCTTGCCTCCCCCATAGATTTCCATATAGCATGCTCCCGTTTCTGCTGGGTGCTCAGACTTCAGACTATGAACTCTGAGCCTGTGGGCACAATAAAAGGTTTTATTCCACCTCTTCAAGTGACTTTTGGATCCACAAGTCTTCAAATTGAGGTAGCTGCAACCCAGAGCTGTAACACTGAGCTGTGGCACTTGGCTGTGACACTGAATTGCAACACTTGGCTACAACGAGCTGTTCTGCTTTGCCACAGCAATATAACCAATCACATCTATGTAATGAAGCCTCCATTGAAACTCAAAAGGACAGGGTTCAAAGGAGCAGTCAGATGGATGAATGTCTAGAGGTTTCTGGACGGTGAAACATCCACAGAAGGCACAGACACACCATGTTCCTTATCCCATAATTTATCCTCTGCATCTTTTCCATCTGGATGTCCATCTTTTTAACAAACTTTATAAGAAACGCTAAGGGTGAGTGTTTCACTGGTTTTTGTGAGGTGCTGTAGCAAATTCTTAGAATCCAAGAATGAAGTCATAGAAATGGGAATCCCCATTTAGAGGTGATCATTCAGAACCACAGACTGCATCCTGCCTGCAGCTGCCATCTGAAGTAGGAAAACTTCTGTGGGTGTGAGGCCTCAGTGGGATCTAGGCTATTTCTACATGCACAGTGTCAGAATCAGACTGAATTAGAAAGCATCCCCTGAAGAATGGCTTGCTTGGTATGTGGAGAAAAATCCTCACATTTGCAGTCACAGCTTTCTGTGTTGTAAATGCACAGGAGTTAAGTTTGTCTTTCCTATATAGTCATACACTGTTAGGTATTTTTCATCATGTTGTATGTTTACAATTATGTTGTATTATACTTTTACATGAGGTTATAATATACTCTAAATCAAGTACAGATTTCTCATTTTGTGGACAATATAAGAAATGCACAAATGAAAAATCAGCATAGGGTTTTCTCTAAGAAAAGTGATGCTCAGTATCTATATGAGCTAGAGGATGAGTTGTGTGTTGAGAAATAACAGTGCACAGCAGCTTGAAAGAAAGATCGGAATCTAACAACCATGATAATGACAACAACAGTAATGGCTAAAGCTTCTGGGCACTTCTAGATACTACATATTATTCTAATTGCCTTACTTGTGTAATTCATAGAAAAACATAGTAGCCCTCAAGAGAAATGTTTCTCTCTTAATATGGAGAGACTCTCCACAGGTCAAAGAGCTAAAAATGGCAGAGTACACAGCTGAACCTATGTGCCTGGGATTTAGAATTAAAGCTAAAGAATCAAACAGTTCAGCAACAGATATAGCATCAAAAGTAAACTGATATTAGGTTCCCTAAATGAGAAAACTGAAAACAATTTCAGGATAATGTCATGAATCTGTATGAAAGTTCATTACTTCTAAACACACACACACACACACACACACACACACATTATATTTTTCTCACTGCTACCAATACATTAAGAGGATAGTGTAGTGATTTAAGGAAAAGGAAGTGATCTAAGATATAGTTTCTACCATTCAAAAACAGAATCTTGGGGTTGGGATGTAGCTCAGTGGTAGAGTACTTGCCTAGCATCCATGAGGCCCTAGGCTTGAGCTGCAGCATTGCAAAAAAAAAAAAAAAAAAAAAAAGAATAAAGTAAATAAATGAAATATTAAGAATATTAATGTGACCTTAATAAAAACCATGGAATTGCATATCCACATACTCATGAACACACATTACAGTCAAATCAACATATTTAAAAGGAGGCTCTCTGAATGCTTTTTTTCCGTGATTTTTAATTTTATCACCACTCATGCTAATGTGTATTTCAGCATGTATAGACAATGAAAATGTAAAAAATATACATTAGACTATAAAACACTAGTGTTTACACTAGTGTTTAAAATGGTACAACATGAAAACTTATATAATGGAACTTGAACTCCAATCTCTACTAAATATTCATACTAAAAATATATTCATATCTTTACCCATTTAAGTTAAGATATCTAGGCATTACCAAAATCCCAATGGAATTTATTAGTTTAATAAAACTATAAGATCAGGAGCTTTTTGAAAATGTGTGGTGCTAGGATCAAACCTAGGGCTTCACACAAGTCAGGCAAGAACTTTATCTCAAAGCTACATTCCCAGCCCAGAAATGTTTTAATAATATAACTAATTTAACAGGTTAACAGAAAAAATTATGTAATGCAGAAATATGTAAAGAATTACTGAAAAATTAAAAAGCAGCCCAAAAATGTAACTTGAAAAGGTAAAACTACCAAGCCTGATATTTACCAAGCACATTTCACCAAACATTGTGATTGGCAGTAAGCACTGGATGAACTTCCTCCTAGCGAAGGAGAAAAGGGGGCTGTTCAGGTCCAGCTCATCGCTACTGCAAAGGATGCCTGAGCAGGAAAAAGTGAAGAAATAAGGTGGAAAACAGAAAAGAACTGAATTGTTAAAAACTAACAGATATGATGACTATAGCCTGGAAAAAGAATGTTACTTAAATATAGCAATTAAAAGCAATGAAAATAATCTTCCTCCCTTAGTAGCTCTCATTAAACACACATGCACGTGACACATCTTACATTTCCATTAGCAAATTTACCATGGCACTTAAGTAAAAGACACTTCCTGATCCATGAGAAGAAATTATGCAACTGTTCTGAAGGGCTGATGTCAGCAAGACAGAGGAGCAGGAAGCCCTGGGTGTTCTCTCCCTCACATGAATAAGGATTTAATAACAACATAGCGACCAACTGCCCTTGGGAAAAACTCAGAAAATACCTAAGAGGTTGGAACCCTTCATGCAAGCCCTTAGGAAAAAAACAATGAAGAAAATGGAAGGGCTTAAGGGACTTATATGAAAAAGTCTTCATCAAATGCATTTCAGAAGAGGAAGAAAGGGGTAGAGAGTCTATCTGAAATTAAGATTGCCCCAAATTTATCAAATATGAGAAAGACGGACATACAAATTCAAGCAGGTTAGAGAAATCCAAATAGAACAAATGGAAAAGACCTACACCAACACACACCATAATAGAACCATTAAAAGTCAGAGACAAAAAAAGAGTCAAGCATCCTTCTAGGAGTGGCAGGAGATTACTCAGCAGAAACTTTGCTAGCTATATGTAGTGGGTGGTACACTCACAGCGCTGATGGAAAACACTGCCAGTTAATACAACACTGGGCAAAACTATCCTTATAAAATGGAGAACCTGAGAGGGCCCACATACAAATTAACAGAGTTTAATTACTCAATTACTTTCTTTTTTTAGATAGGGAGGGTCTTACTTATTTGTCCAGGGTGGCTACAAAGTTGTGATCCTTCTGCCTTGGCCTCCAGAGTAGCTGGGATTACCCGAGTGCAGCAGCTTGCAAAGCCCAAGAATTTCTAAAGCAAGACCATGAAGTTAAAATGAAGAAAAGAAAAACAAAAGCTTAAAAACACATAGAACTCTAGGTAAAGTTATGCAAGCCCTTCACTATGAATAACTGTGTCTAATTTGAATGAATTAAAGGCCTAAATTAAAAGACATACAATGACTGAAGACAGAGGAAAAGAGGAAACCAAGATCCTACTACATGGTGTAAACAAGAGATTCACTTTGGTTCAAAGGACTCACATAGGCTAAAAGTGAAAAAATGGAAAAGGAAATGTAAATGGAAACCTAATAGGAACAGGGGTGGTTACTCTTATGTTTTAAAATAAAGCCTTTAAGACACAAATTGCCACAAGAGAAGAACTTTACCTATTAAGGGGGCAGCACCCCAGGAGATAGGATAATTACAAGCATGAACCCAACATTAACCTACTCCAATGTATGAAGCAAATGCTGTAGAGAGCAGCCCAATGTTCAGGGGACACTTCATGCTCTATAATCACTTATGGACAAAATAACCAGACAGAAGATCAAGAAATAAACAGAGGGCTTCAACAACACTACACAGCACATGGACTTTGCAGATCCATACAGAACATTCTACCCAATAGCAGCAGAAACTACTTCCTCTAAAACACACAGGAACTTCTACTTGATATACCACAGGTTAGGTTAAAACAAATCTTCGATAAGTTTTAAGAAACTTGAAATCATTCTAATTTTTTTCTTGTGCACAATGGAATGAATGTAGAAATCAACAGCTGAGGATATATAAAACCCAACAAGTATGTGAAAATTAAACTCACTCTCAAATAACCAACATGTAAAAGTACAACAAGATTTCCGAAAGCATCTGTAGTAAAAGCAATATTAAAACAAATATATTGAAACTTAGGTTATGTAGTAAAATCTGCAGAAGTCTAAGACAGTAAAACTTTATGTCCACAACATAGGACAAACTCAAACCAGTGAATTTTATACCTCAATCAAAAAAAAAAAACTATCAATAAAGCAAAAGGAAGGAAAAAATGAATATAAGGGCAGAAATAAATGACATAGCAGACACATTAAACAATAAAACATTAACTTTCTGGAAGATCAGCAAAAATGACAGGTGCTTCCCAGAACCCTGAGCAATGGAGCCTCTTCACATGATCCATGTCACTGGTCCCAGTGAGATGGGAGTCCTAGAGATGAGCAAGGCTGAGGGTGGCCCCGCTGAGTGTCAGCAAACACAGCAGTCTGCAGGATTACAGGAGGTTACAGTCCTGTATCCAGCGCTTCACAAAGGAGGGAGACACAGAACAAGCAAATGAGATCACCGCTTTACCTGAATAACAGCCATTTTTGACTTTTTCCTCTTCCTCCTCTTCCAGGCTTCTTCCTTATGTAACAAGAGTCTTTAAGTTAATCCTGAATATCAAGAACATACTGTTTAATGTTCAGAATGAACACATCTCCTTTGGGTAATAACCAGTCACAAAACACATAACCTCACCATATGGAAAGATGGGTGCTCTGCTGCCCACTGCACTGAGTGTAGAGATGCAGTGATATGCAACTCCCACAGGAGGCCCAACCAGAGACTTCCTTGACACTTCTTCAGAGCCTGGCCCCTCCTGGTGAAGCCCCAACACCCAGCAGCAGTGGGGAGCTGGGCTGCACTGAGTTCTCCTTCAGGACATAGTCCCAGCGCTGACCAAACCCATGCACAGCATGTCCCCCCTCATTCCTTCATGGATCACACTCATCTCAGCCCTTAGAAACACAGGAGACAGTCTGGGTGCCCAGTGCTGTGCACAGAATAGAATCAACTCTAATATTATTAAGGCTTGGTCCAAGGCTGACCATGAGAATGGGACTCTCTGATAGGGGCCACAGCACATTTATTTGCACTCCAATGGGAAGCCAGGGTTGAGCATTACCCAGGAGGGAAGGTGCAGCTCACCTCCCTTCTGGCTCAGCTCTCCCTTTGGAGCCTTGTTGTCCCCAGGATCCAGACAGTGGACTGGGAAGGATCAGGAAGAAACGTGGAGAGCAGAGAACATGGACCAGAGGCAGGGGTGACTGTGTGGTTAGGATGTCAGTGGAAGGTGAAGAGATCACAGAAGTCTCCATGGAAACGCTGATATCAGACCTGGGAAGGAAAGTGTCTGCCACTGGCAGCTGATGGGCCAGTGCGTTCTAGGAAGAGACAGAACCCAGGAAAGTCCTGAGGCAGGAGCTACAGTGTCCCCACCGAAAGGCAAGAGGCCTGTGAGGTGGAGCAGAGTGAGCAGGGAGGAAAATAGGGAGGGACTTCTAGAAGCAGACAAGGTATGGCTGAGATCTAGTATTTCTCTCCCACATCTGAAATGAATTTTGGAAATAATGGACTCTGTCACCCATCTGATATAAAGATGTGATTTTGCTTTCTACTTTAAATGAAAACAATTACACATATTATAATCCATCCTATATTTAAAATACATGCATAAGTGTTTCGCTAAGCCTCAGGAAGGGCAGGGTTTCCTCTACCTGAGATACTGAGGACTGCAGAGGACATTGTTTGCAGAGCTCAGGGAGTCATATGGGGACTATGAAGGTAGAGGTACCTGTTGGATGTCCCAGCAGAGTTGAGGTGATACATGGACACAGGATTCTAGGGTTCCTGGGAGAGGTCTGCAGGGTACAGGGAGACACAGATATAGTGTCAAAGCCATAGAGTAGGTGATAAGTAAGGCTGTGGGTATTGTCAAGAAGAGGTTCAAAGCTAAAGCAGGGGACACTGTCATACTCAGAGAACAGGGTTCAGGAGACACCAGCAGGGGAAACTTTGAAATGATCAGGGAAGAGATAAAAAAATTAAAGCAAATGGATTTTTCACACAGATGGAGAAACCAAGTATGGGGAAAAGATGGCCATCTGCTGCCCACTGTAAGAGGGACTGAGGGACAATAAACTTACATACAATGATAAATGAGTGAGATTTTTTTCACTCATAGTCCAAACACCCTTCCCCTTTCAGAAATATGCACACGTCTGGGTTCCACTGTATTCTGTGCACTGGGTATTCGGCCAAAGGAACTGCTTCCTCTAAGTTCATGGCCTGCAGCTATGTAGCCAGCATCGAGTGACTATCAACGTAGAACAGAAAAGCTTGTCTCTTCCTTCAATTAGGAACAACTCTGAAGAGCCATCCCAGCTCCAGAATTCCTGCTATTGCTATACTGAATTTAGATTTTTTTTTGGAGGGTCAGGGGAACCACAAAAAGATTTAATGCCAGAAGACACAATAAAATTTAAAACTCACTCCTGATTCAGAAAGAGGCAGGAGGGAGGGAGGGAGAGAGAGGAAGAGAAAGGAGAAAGAGGGAGGTCTTAAGGGAGGCAACTTTTTTTTTGTTTTGGAGCTTATGGCTCTGCCTCTTTCTTAATGGTCAGCATTTCTGGAGGGCTGAGAATCATTTCAGATTCTAATTGGGCACCTTCTCTCAAAAAATTGCCACTGCAAACATACCCAATTTTGAAAATCATTTCAAGGATCTCATTTGGTTAAACTTGGAATTCCTCATTCACTCCATGTTTCAGGTGTGTACACTGAGGCTTAAATAGGGTAGTGACTCCGTTAAATTACCCTGAAGAGGTCTAAGTTGAGTGACAGCTTGGTGAAACTGAATTTTGAAAAGGTTGGACAGGGCAGTGGGAAAGATCTGTCTTTATTGAAGAGTTCCTCTGGAGTGAGGCTGGCCTTCCGACTCCGCTGGGGGGAAGGGCGCCCCCTGGGAGAATTTTCTCAGTCCCCTCCGAGGACTTGCAACGCCAACCTTGCCAACAGTGGCTTAACCGGACCTGGAACAAGAGACAAGGAGACGCGGGACCAAGTGACTGTGTGAGTGACTGACTTTGGACACGGTAGGCCGCCCCGGGAAAAGCCCAGAGATTCAATTTTCAATCTGTTTCCTGATGTGAGTCAGAAGGGCCTGATCACCCCTTCACTGGGAATATCTCATTCTAGTCTGGTAGGGGCTTTTAAAGTCCCGTCTGTTGGGGCTCTGCGGAGTCCTGTTTGTTAGGGACTTTTTAAAGTCCCATTTGCTTTGCTTTCACTTTGTGAAGACTGAATTAGGGCCATCCCAAGCCGGGCGGGAGTGTTTAACCTCTGAATGACTATGCATGATCGTGTGATTGAATGTGAATGGACAGCATAACAAATGGGCTGATCCATCTGTGTCCACGACTCAACGGGGAGCACCTCTGTGCTTAAATATTCCCGAGGTTATGGACGCGAGTGGGCCTGATCTGAGATTCTGTGGACACATCTAATGAAGGGAGGGCTAAGTGGGTGCTCTTTGGACAAGATAAATACACCCTTATGCCTGGACAGTCCTGAAAGTGCTGGTCACGCAGCCAGACAGGTGCCTGTGCAGACTGTCACCCCCCTTTGTTTGTCTTGCGTCTCCGTATAAGGGTACCCATACAGACACCGACACTCTGATCAGCTGGTCGTGGAGACAGAAATATCTCATCCTACTGTTTTGAAATACATGCTTAAAATTTTTAAGAAAGGTTTTACTAAAAATTATGGTATTAAGATAAAACCCCCAAACTTAGAGACTTCTGTGAGTTAAAATGGCTCAAGCTTTGCTCAGCTTGGCCAACTGAGAGATCTCTAAATGAGGGTCCCGTCTGGTTCATCTGGCTAACAGTCACCACCCCCGGACGGGAACATCCAGATCAATTTCCCTGTACTGATTTATGGCTCAAATTGTGCCACAGAATGCCTCCTTGGATTCATATGTGTGCCCTGGAAGCAAAAAGCAATATCCTGGTCCTCCGTCAGAAAGGGGACGACGCTGGAAAAAAACTGGTCCTTTCAGACCTGGACCGAGAGAATTTAGACTTTCCCCCTCCTTACCCGATCGCCCCGGCCCTTTCCCAGGTCCCTACGATATCAGCACTAGCCCCTCTGCCCAGGCCTTGCCTGATTCAACCCAGCCACTCCAAGACCCAGGTACCCAAGGTGAGGCAAATTAAAACAACGGAACTTAGGGAGCGTGTCGAAAATAACATCCAGACAGCTCAAGGAAAAAAGTTATCTCCCTTGAGACTTTAACTGAGACCTTGACAGCTTGGAGCCTTGTGCACCGAGCCCACGAGTCTCTCAAGTTTCTGCTCCACAGCAATCGGCAGCTGATGAGAACTGTTTAGTTTCCATCTTAAAACAACTGCTTCTCAAATCTGCTGTCTTTCACACCATGGACTCGCCTCTCCGAAAAATGTGACATCCTTACAGGCAAATCCTAGGGCTCCCCTCTGGAGGAGGTTGAGCTGCCTCCCCCTCCTTTTGAGTTGCTAAGTTCACAGGAGCAGAGGAGGTGGGGACACAAGGGTGAGAAGTGCTTGGCTCTAGAGCACCAGAGGGTTCATGCTGTGGTCGGCCTCAGAGAGGACTGAACAGGGCTTGCACTCAAATTGGAAAACACTGAAAAGAGAAAATGAGTAATGGATTGAAAACAGCTAAGAAAGCTCTGAAGACCATAAAAAAAAGCACTCTTGGCTTTACAAGCCAAGGCCAACGCTATGGTACCAGCCTAATGCTGCTGCGAAGGTCTGAAATCCAAAACAAAGCCAGAAAAACTACAAACATACAGAGATTTTACAAGAGAAATCAAGTTACAAATTTTAGCTAATTAAGAAATGTATCTTTGTTTCAGTTTGAGTTGATGTTTAATTGGTGTGCTTAAAATATTTCTTGTACATTACAAATTCTTCAATTATAATTATAGGGTTAACGTGCTCTTTTCTGTACCTTGTTGATAAAAAAAACAACTCAAGGTTACTACCGTTCTATTGACAGCCAACCAAATTTAAAATGTAACAATCTAAGAACAAAAAAGGGACACTTTAAAATTTTAACAGCCAAAGACAAGTCTGTGATAAAAGGTCTTTAGTGAGATTAAAAAATATATTAAAAGCTATAAATAAAAGAGATACAATTTTGATATAAAAATTTTGTATGTTTGTCTTGTTAAAAAAAATAAAAAGAAATATACAAGACCAGAAGGCCTAGGTATGTCAAAAAGATGTGATTTATCAAAAAAAATATGTATGTTTGTTTGCTGGTTTCAAGTTTGTTATAAAAGTTTAAATATGTTTACATTGGTTGTCATCAAAGGGTTAAATTCTAAATATGTTACTATAATGCGTACATTGGTCATTTTCAAAGGGTTTAAGAGCCAACAAGTTACAAGATGACCTCCTCCTTTGCAGTGAGTCAAAAAGGACTATAGGAAAGGGGCCAAGGCCCTCAAGTTCCTACAAGACGCGGGATATAAAGTCTCATAAAAAAAGCACAAATTTGTCAGACTGAAGTGTGGTATCTAGGATTTGACTTTAAAAAGCTCCAAGAATTCCTCGGGAAGTCAGGATTCTGCAGAATCTGAGTCCCAGAGTTCATGGAGAAAACAAAGCCACTATATGAGATGCTAAAAGACAAAAAAAAAAAAAGGACTAAAAAAAGGACTAATCAAGATTCATCCTTCAGAAAACTAAAAAGGCTTTAAACTAAACTCCTGCACTCGGCATCACAGGTGTCACCAGACCCTTCAACTTGTTTTTAAATAAAAGCATACTGCCTTGGGGGTTTTAACTAAGAAGATGGGCCCTTGGGAAAGACCTGTTGCTTATCTCTCAAAAGCTTTAGACCCCATGGCAAAAAAATGGCCTCCCTGTTTACGAGCTATGGCTGCTGCAGTCATTAATAAAAAAAAACTGACAAGCTGACTTTAGGACAAGAACTGTGTATACTTCTCACTCAATAATGGAGTTATTAAATAGTAAAGGCCAGAATTGGCTCTCCAATAGCTGCATCACTCAATACCAAGCCCTGCTGTGTGAAAATCCCCACCTCAATGTTGTAACGGTAAAGACATTAAATCCAGCTACCTTCCTGCCCACGATGCTCCACTCAACCAGATCTCCAGATGACCACCACCTCCAGATGCTGAGTACATCCTGTATATGGACGGAAGTAACTTCGTGAAAAAGAAAAGCCGCTGAGCTGGGTTTAAAGAGGTGATCCTATCCGGACCCCTTCCTCAGGCATGTTCAGCACAAAGAGCAGAACTCTGGGCACTAACCCAGGCACTTTGTTGGGCGGAAGGAAAAACGGTCAATATTTATACTGACTCCAGATATGCCTTTGCTACTGTTCATGTGCATGGTGCCATCAACCAGCAACGAGGACTTCTCACAGCATAAAAAAAAGGCATCAAGAATAAGGATGGAACTTTGAAACTCCTGGAAGCGTTTCCAACGAGGTCTGAGAAAGCCTCTGAAGTGTACAAAATATTGTTGAGAGAGATAATTCCAAGATATGGACTCCCTCTGACCATCAACAGTGGCAACGATAAAAATAGAAAAAATAAACAGAATTACTAAGTCAGCTCTCACTAAGTATTGCCTAGAGACCCAGGCCCTTTGGGTAGATCTCTTACCCTCTGCCTTGATAAAAATTAAAAATGTGGCTAACAAGGAAAAGTTCTTCCCATTTGAGATCCTGTTTAAAAGGCCACCACCTTTGACTGAAAGCCTTAGGGGCAACACACACAAAATAAAAAGTCTAATGCTTAACCAACAGCTTGAGGCTCTAGGACAGGCTTTTCATCAGCTACACAAATATTATGGAAAAAAGGATAATATTATCATAGACACTCCTGCTCATTTATTTGAGCCAGGGGACCAAAGTTATATAAAAGATTAAAAAAAAGAACTCCCTCACTCCAACATAAAAGGGCCTTATGTTATTGTTACGACAACTCCCACAATGGTAAAACTTACAGAAATCCAGCCTTGGATCCATCATTCAAGAATCAAGGAATTTCATCCAGGAGACCTCTGAACGTGGCAGCCGGAACCAGCAAACCTGCTAAAGGCTAAAACCTGCTGAGACTGCGCTCTCAAAGCTTTGCTCGTCACTCCGGAAGCTGACAGGTCAACGGTGGCTGAAAAAATTAAAGGAGACAACACTCTCAAAAGCCCTGCTGATAGGCTAAAGTATGGCTAAAAGCTCATAAACAGTTGTACCGCTTCATTGACTGGGACTTTCCTACTCACTACTGTTGTTGTTTAGTTTTATTATTGTTTTGTTATTATTGCTGTGTGTTTAGTTCTAATTGGGTTCCTCTTTGACATTACTCTGAGTGCTAGTACCCCAAGAGATCGGAGCACTTGCCAAAATGCTGGCTTACTATCACATACTGATGTATCATCCCACTTTTCAGTTTCCTTATATGTTTATGGTAAATACAGGACATTGAAACTTTGAACTGAGTATGTACAAGCTTAAAGATTCAAAGTTTGATGCCCAAACCAAACTAAGGTAATTAAATAAAAACCCAAAGGGCATCCCCTGCGCATTACATTTGATGGATGCTCACACCAGCACTACGACTGGCTGGAAGTGATAATTGTGGAGGATATAATAGGAAACGACAATACTGTACAATGAGGTCAGAAGGACGAACAAGAATGGCTATAAAGTTCCAAGGACAACAAAAGGCTTAAATAAAAAAAACACGCAATCCCCAAATTGCCATACTTGTAAAAAAACAGAGTATAACCCACTTAAAATAGTTATACCTAAATAACTAAAAGGACAGGTTAATTCGCTGACAGATATAGTACTACAAAATAGAAGAGCTCTCAATTTATTAGCTTCTAAGTATGGAAAAGCTTGTCTTTACCTAGAAAAGAATGTTGTTATTATACAAATCAATAAGGAGTAGTAAAAAAAAATCCATGACCCAACTAAAAGAGAGATTAAATTGGGTAAGAACTAAATATGGTTCCCAGGATACTAACTCGTGGTAAAATTGACAGTTCACTGGATAAAAAACATGGTTGGGGGCCCTAACGGGACCCAAAAATGGCTAAAGGGTTGTTGGCTACAAATTGACATTGGATTAGGAGGCTGGTGACAACATAATTTTAAAGAAATCCTTGTAGGTTGGACCATGCTCATAAAAAAGCTCTGGACCACCAATGGGCCCACTGTAAAATCTCTACAAGTACTAAAAGATTTTTTAAAAAGTCAGACCAATTACACAGGTATTGATATGGTCCAGGCAATCAATAACACCCACCAGCTCCTACTGGCAACAGACTCAGAGTTAGCCTCTGGTTGCTGGATCTGTGCTCCCTTAAAGCAAATGTCATAACAGGCCCTCAGCATTACAGTAAATAACATGACCGCTAAAAAACCGACCTCAGGGGCCTCAGCCTTGCTAATTAAAAAGCCTACCAAGGCCATAGATAACAGTACTTGCCTTCTTAAAAACAAACTACACCTGAATGTTACCTGTGAGTGTACAAATATCATTTTGTACAGGGATAATAATGTTTCTACTCCTAAAGTGACCTTCTTTCTTTGTGGAGACAAAGTTTATAAAGTGTTCTCCCCAGAATCCACGGACCCTGTGCTGTAGGAATTTTAATTCCTAGGTTGTCAGTCTACACCCCACCTGACATTACACAAAGTACCTCTAAAGACTGACATAGTCAGAGGTCTCAACAAGAGAAGGGACCCTACTGTTATGCCTATAATGGCAGGGTTAGCCATTGCTGGAAGCCTTGTCCTAGGGAAAACAACTCTTGGTCTAGGACAACAACAATACCTGTCTTTAGAAAAGAAAGTACAAAGTCTAAAAAAGGTAAAAGCCTCTATCCTCACACTCCAAAGACGAATTAACTCCTTGACATGGTGTTACAAAATAAAAGGACACTGGATTTACTAACTCCAAGACATGAGGAAACGTGCTTATATCCAAAAAAAAAAAAAATGCTATTACTATACTACTAAGTCTAAAATAGTAATAAAATCTGTGAATAAACTTAAAGGAGGTTAGACAAAATGGAAAAACAATTTAACACTAAAAATTCAAATTCATGGGGCGACTGGGCCCTATCTAAATAAAAACCATGGTCAGGGGTCCTCGCTGGACCACAAAACTTTGCTAGCCTTAACTACAACAGGTCCCTACGTTATTAATTGAATAACCAAGTTCATCACACAGAGAATAAACTCTATTCAGAACTACCAGATGTTAATCTCCACAAGTAGAGTACAGAGACATTAGTAATATCAATGATGAAAAATCATCATGAATTAAAACAAATGGGGGAATGTTAAGGAAAGTATAAAATAATATAGAATAACTGCCTGCCTCGTTCTGCTTCTGTAACTTGCTTCGCTTGTTTCGCTTCTCAAAATAACACCACCAGATGCTTTGCCATTAACCACAAGTTTGTGGGCACGAGATAAGCCACTGCTTGCAACATTGCCTAACCACAACCCCTACCCAAGTGAGGCCAGATGTCTGCACCAAGAGAACTGTAACCATGCCTCACGAGCAAAAGTACACGTAGGCCCTAAGCTTTCTGTAAATCACATGACTAGACCCAGTTTAAAGTATAAATGTAAGCCTCCGATGGGACCCGGGGTCGGTCCTTGAAGGCATGTTCCTGTGGGGCTGGCCTGCTAGCAAATGAATTTTGTTGTTTGACCCAACTCTCCTGGTCTCTGTTCGACTCCCAGATGCCACAACACTCCAAGAGCATGTCTGGTCCCACTCTGCCGTCCTGTCTCCTGAAACTTACTGACGGCCCGGCCCGAAAACTCCACACGGGTCTCCTTCCTCCTCTTCTCCGCTTCCGCTCTGCCTGAGGGCGGCGAACGCCGTGCAGCCAGCCACCTTCCGAGTGACGAAGGCACACCGCGGCTGGGCCGAGGCAGGGGTCGCGAGTCAGGGAAGGGCGCAGCGGGCCGGGTCCGCGGGCGGAAGGCAGAGGGCAGGGCGAAAGCGCGCGGACGGCCACTACCTGCACGGCGTCAAAAAGCTCACGGGGATGCGGGACAGAGACGACCTCACAACGAGAGGGAGGACAAGCTCAGAGGCTTTGACTTACACATTGAACCCTGCAGAGTGAAGGGGTTGGACAACGTGCAGATCTGAACCAGAAGAACGTAAACTCACTCACCTGATTCCCGGTTATCTCGCGGATCTGTTCCGGGTTTGCAGGCAACGGCGCAGGCGCAGCGTCCACTTGGGGGGCGGGCCCAGGACGTGAGGGGCGGGGCCTGACGCGGGGACCGGAAGCCGGAGGCCGGGAGAGGACCAGGTTTGGGTATTATAGAGTCTGAGGGTGATTTCAGCGTTGACTCTTACATTGTGCAAGAGCCAGAGCTGTCTGCTGCGTAGCCGTTGGGAACCAAAAAGTTAGATGCACAACTGCCGGTGAGGGAGGAACGATTTTATGTGACCTTCCGCTAGTGTCCTTTTCATTTCTGTTCTGCATTTCTCCCAGGAGAGGACAGGAGGAGGCCGACATGCAACCTGGGACTCCATGGGCTTGGGCTGGAGAGGCCAGCGGCAGGGAGCTGAGCACTTAAAAGCAACAACAGTTTCTGCGTGTATCGAAATAAACTCGTTTTTTTTTTTCTCTTTTTTGATTATATTCCTTCTAAACCACCTTTCTTGAGATAAATGAAAATGCAAGTATCTTTGTCACAGACTAGATTGCATGTGGTATTTTCCTTGTCATTAATAGCTAATCACAAACGTATTCCAGTGTTTAAAGTCTTTATTTTCAGTAGTTTAAAAGTGTTTTTACTTCGAAAATTACATTAATTGCATATTTTAACCTATTTTTTTTCCTGAATGTTTTGTGTCAAGTGCAGATACTGAGGCTGTAGCAGTTGTCTTTCCTTTTAACTAAAAACATTTGAAATATTTTCAGATATTTGATAAGGTTGACTAGTTCTCAGTTTGGGCAATAGAAGTAAATAGTAAAACTAGTTTTTAAGTTTTTTCAAGAGGATCTCTTACATCCTTAATTTTAACTTACACACATTTTAATTTTTTAAATTAAGTTTATTGGTACATTTTAGGTATACAATATAATGACATTCATCATTGGAGATTTGTACCTTTACATAATATATCTTGTTGTGCCCAGATTTCGAGGTCCCCAAAGACCACCAAGGAGCCGATTCCGATGTAAACACACGAGGGTCGTTTATTCAAGCTCAAGCAGGGACTCCCAACCGTCACCGCCGCAGCGGGTCAAGATTGAGAGCCCCGACTCCAAATCAGCAGGGGTTTTTATGGTGGTTACAGCAAGGTTCTAGATTGGCAATTAAACCTGATTGATTGTACCTTGCGCGCCCAAGCTGCAAACGGTTGCTAACTACTGATTAGCTGTTGCTAGGGGACGGCTGAACACTATCACATGCAGGTGGTCAAAATACATCTTGTGGTTTTTTCTTCGAACTGAAATTTATGCCACCAAATTTTAGAATGGAGTCACTTAGGTCTCACAATCTTTTTTTTTTTTTTTTTTGTACCGGGGATCGAACTTGGGACCTTGCACTTGCCAGGCAGGCAGCGGAACCACTGAGCTAAATCTCCGGCCCTATATATCTTGATTCTTATTTTTTCCCTATTCCCCTGACCTCCCATCAACCCCTCCACCCCTGCCTATTTACAAAAATTTGTTTCCATTTTTTCTTTTCTCATATTTATTCCATTCCCTTCTTTTCTTTTCCCTACCCCTCCCACATCCCCTTTCCCTTTGCAACTTTTCTTCCTATTTCACATTATCTATTATACATTATGATCCTTATTTACACTTTCAGTTTCTCACACCAGAGAAACTATTCAGTATTTACACGTGTGTCCTATTTATTTCACTTAAGAGTATTGCTTCAATGTGCATCTATTTAGCTATAAATGTCTCTAATTTCTCATTCTTCATGGCTGAGTAGTACTCCATTTTCTTAAAAAAATCACTCATTTTAATTTGAAATGTGAGTTAATAGCTCATTTCTGTTTCCGTGGAAATAATGAAGGTGATGTTTTTGGAGTCTGTACTCAATCACTATTACATATGCTGCAGAGATTTCCAAAGGATTGTTTCCAATAAAGGTTAGTGTTCTATTTTCCCCAGAACTAACAGAAGGTTCTCAAACTTTTAAGTTTTTTTTCCTCCTAAACTTTCCCCAAGGTTTTAGTTTTTAAAACAAATTCATGGACTCAAATGGATTTAAACTTTAGAAGATAAAGTTCTCTTGGACAAGAGAACAAAAATAGTGCTTGCTCTGTTTATGAAAGAGGACTCCCAGAACTGCTTCACAAAGTGCCAAGAACAGTGGAAGAAATGTGTTTGGAGGGAGGGGGGGGTCACTTGGAAGGAGATGAATGGCAATGTGTCTTTTACTGTAATAAATTTTAAAAATGTCAACATCCATGCTTTTGATCAACCTTTGTAAATGATATGGAATGATTAAGCTAATTCACATAGAATTCATTCAGAGCCATGTCATCTAGTCTGTACACTAATCCATTTATCACACCCATAATTCATACTCAAACACCCTAGATCCAGCCACCTCTGAAAAGCCCCACCTATGAGCACATGAGGCTTTTGGTGGTGGTGGTGGTGGGGGACATCTAGATACAAGCCATAACAGATGAAAGCCCAAAGAAAGAACATTGTATTTCCTTTTATGCTGGGAATAAAACTATCATGGGTTACTACAATCTCATATCTTGCCTTAAATTATGGGACATAAAACACTTATTTGGGATAGAATCATGGAAATGTTAAATGATTATTAACTTATGATCATATAGTTACCTAGTAATGCCCAAATTAAATAAATTATTAGCCATGTGACAAAATTCGTGGTTAAATTAAAATCATAATAAAATTGGGAACTATTAGGTGCATGTTGTGTACTTTATCAATCGCAAAAAACAGAGTTTGGGATTGGTATTACAAAGTTCTTAAAGCACAGAAAATATTGCAATGTGCATTTGTGACTGGCATCTCCTGTTATAATCCCAGTATTGTAAAATTACCTTTTTCTCCAGGGCTGGTTCCTAGGATCGGGACAGAAAAATTACAGGGAGGGTGAGGTGCCACACACCCTGTAACCCTATCTGCTGTGTGGCGTGAGGCAAGAGACTCATAAGTTTGATCCCAGTTTGGCAATTTAACAATGCCCTCTCTCAAAAGAAAACAATTAAAATGTTTGGTGATGTAGCTCAGTGGTAAAGCACTTGCCTAATATGTTTCAGGTCCCCAGGGTGGAAAGAAAGAGAGACAGGTAGATGAAGGTGATGGAGAGGGTGAAAGAAAGAAAAACATAGGAGAGGAGAGAGAGAGAGAGAGAGGAAGAGAGGTTAGAGAGACAGATATATGTAACCACAATCCACAGATCTCTGGGTGTTTTCATTAAGAATATGTTTAGTGTCTTCATTAAATACTTCATACTCTCCAACTCAGGGAAAGCATTTCCACCCTGGAAAATGCCAATCAGATCACCTGTTTCTGCTCCGGATTACCTGATTCATAAGGATTTAAACTGGCTTTTGTTTCCAGCTTGGAGATGTAGTAGTTACATATTTAGGAATCCTAAAAATTTAGTCTGTTTTTCTGTAAATTAGGCTGAACAGGATATCGGTTTAACAGTCTTTAAGCAGTGTGAACAGGGTTCTTCAGTACTTGGATTGTTACTTTTGTTATTCTTGTCAGTGCTGGAGATTGAACCCAGGGTCTATGCGTGGCAAAGAAGCACTGTACATTTATCTGCCCCAGCCTTATTACCTGGATTGAATCCCGTAATTGAGGTTACTGTGGATGACCTTACATTGCATCAATGTCTCAGTTACATTTTTCCTTGCTGACACAAAATACCAGACACCCAAAATTGAAGGAGGAACATTTATTTCAGCTCACAGTTTTTAGAGGTTTCAGTCCAGAATCAGCTGGCTGAGAGGCAGGGTGGCATGGCAAAGGGGCAATGTAGAGGAGAAACAGCCCAAAGCAAGCAGCCAGGGGACAGTGAAGCAGAAGCAGCCAGCCTGCCTCTCCCTTTTATCCCACCCAGGCCACCAGCCTGTTGTGTGGTGCCACCCACACCCAGGGCGGCCTTCCCATCATCCACACGCAGAACTATGCTAAACAAATCAGTGGAGTGATTTAGTACTACACACACGTGTTCCTAGCATCCACGGCATAAAAAGCAGGGAGCTCCAAAAAGCCACCCTCTGAGCACCTCAGAACTTCAGTATTTCTCTTTTTCTCGGTGATGTGTTTTAAAACCTGGTAAATGACTCTTTCTACTGGGATCCCTTACCCACAGCCCCTTGAGACCCGTCCTTCCTTACTGATTGCCTCTTAGACGCTAATGGAAAATAGTCCTCCAGCCCATCCCATTGCCAGCCGCTGGGCCGAGAGTGAAGCAGCCGGCAGTGTGGAAGAAAGGCAGCAGGCATGAGAGGTGGCTCTGTGAGCATGCGACCTCCCTTTCTGCCCATGTGCAATTATCTCTCCACTTGTAGTAACACTGATAGTGCAGGCTTGGGGGGCAGAGGATATTTCAGAGGGATTTTTTTCCCCAAGTGGTAGCTGTGAAAAAAGAAATGAGGAGTTTCTGGCCAGCATCACTTCAGGGAGCACTGGGAGGCTGGGAGGCTTTTTGTTCTCCATGACCCAGAGAAAAGGGCTCCCACCAAGGACCCAGGAGTCTGAGGTCTGACACATGAGAGACTTGCAGAGAAACTCTTGTGTCTCTGGATTCTCATGTGTGCTGAAGCTTTGGGGTGGTTTGTTTTGTTTTAAACAAGGTCACATTATGTAATTCATGTTGGCCTTGACCTCACTGATTACCCCAGTCTGCCCTTGCACTTAGGGCGATGCTGCCTGGCACAGGCTCCAGCATGCTGGTATTACAAGCAAGGACCACCACCTCTGGTTTGTTCATGCTGAAATTTTACAGCACAGTGAGTTTGTCTTAGTTATCTTTCTCACTGCTGAGACAAAATGCCTGACACTCAAAGTTAAAGGAGGTAAGGGTTATTTGGCTCACAGTCTGCAGAGATTTTAGTCCATAATTGGCTGACTCCAAGGCAGGGTGGCACATGGCAGACAGGTGTCGCAGAGGGGAAACAGTTTCTGGCAGGCAGAAG